GAATTTCGTCCATTTCCTTTGTAATTTCCAATGGATATGCCAAACCTAGTCATTTGGTAGTGAGCTATATTTCCACCATAGATTTTAGGGTGTAACCTTCCCACCAAGGTTCTCAATCTTATAGCTTATGCTTACTATTGATTCACTGCAAGAGATCCTGGGCCATGCTAAGTTTGAATCCACATGTTTAACTAATGGGCCTTAACTGAGCCAAGGTCTATGGGCCATTATTTGAAAGAACAAATCCCAAAATGACAATCCTATAAATCTTATTGGCCCTACATCCTACTCAACCTCTGTCCTCATTCCAAGCGGGTAAGCTTGTTAAAGACCAAATCTTCGATAATTTTACACCTATATTTGTTCTTGTTTTTTTCTGGGTAAAAACATACTTGAATTAAAGCAGCTGGAAGATCAAGACATGAGTCAAATCACAAAAAGATTGCAAAACGTTTGAGAAACTAACAAGAAATGCACTACTTATATCCCATTCACCACTAAACAAACCCTGATTACTACTTACTAGCACAAAAATGGGCTGCCTTATCTCGAAATATGATGCCATCGGATTTCTTTTTCATGGGGCTACAAAACGGCGTAGCCCATTCTCCCCCCAACCCTGGTGCAGGCGAGATTCAATCCTAAGTCTCCGCCACAATCAGTCATAGGCCTTACTAAGTAGCCAGTTGGCGTCTTGTGATGCCATCGGACAGTCTTTGTTCAGCTTTTATATCAGCTGGATCAAACTTTATTTCCAAAACTTCTGAAGAATGCCAACCGCTTATAATGTCAATCAAATCAAATCGGGATTTGCTCCTCCCATAACACTCCTCACACCAACCTCAAAGCACATTCCACAATGCATTAAGAACTTTTCCCCATGAGTATATCTATACTACTTTAAAAAAGCACAAATAGTCTCAATAATATTTTTAAAATTTTCTGAGGACAATATTTACCCCTCTATATTTAAATTTATTGATAAAAATGAGGGCAAATAGGGTAATTTGTAATCGATATTAAATGAGTTGAAAATAGGTGATTTTAAGATATTTAATGCATTCAATCCCCTCTCATTAAATCTAATATATACTACTTTAAAAAATCACGAATAGCCTCAATAATATTTCTGAAATTTTTTGAGGACAACATTTATCCCTCTATATTTAAATTTATTGATAAAAAATGAGGGCAGATAGGGTAATTTGTATTCGATATTAAATGAGTTGAAAAGAGGTGATTTTAAGATATTTAATTCATTCAATCCCCTCTCGTTAAATCCAATCTATACTACTTTAAAAAAGCATGAATAACCTCAATAATATTTCTGAAATTTTCTGAGGACAACATTTACCCCTCTATATTTAAATTTATTGATAAAATGTGAGGGGAAATAGAGTAATTTGAAATTGATATTAAATGAGTTGAAAAGATGTAATTTTAAGATATTTAATGCATTCAATCCCCTCTCGTTAAATCCAATCTATTCTACTTTAAAAAAGCATGAATAACCTCAATAATATTTCTGAAATTTTCTTAGGACAACATTTACCCCTCTATATTTAAATTTATTGATAAAAAATGAGGGCAAATAGGGTAATTTGTAATTGATATTAAATGAGTTGAAAATAGCTAATTTTAAGATATTTAATGAATTCAATCCCCTCTCATTAAAACCAACATTTAACGTATTAACCTGCACTCACCTTCATTTAAGCAAATATTTAAGGCATTTTTGTTTCTTCTCATCATTAAATTCTATTAATTAAATTAATACATAATAAATTAATAATTCCAATAACATAAAAACTTATACTTTTAAAATCTACCTAAAAAAATAATATTTTCGTCTAAGTGGTGGTAAGAAATTAAACCACTTTGGGTCAAATGGGCCAATCTATGTTGTCACAATTAATAATAAAATTCAATAATAGAAAAAATGCAAAAAAAAGTATTGAAATTAAAAAAATTGGAAACATTTTTAACATCATATATTCTTCATATTAAACAATAAGTATGGTAAATAATAAATGTTTTTATTAATGATGGAAATGGAATGTAAAGTTTAAAACCAATTGGAAATAAAACTATTGTCCTATTCTCCCTCATTAAATCTCATATCTAAGGTATATTCTCTCATTAAATCCTATATTATGATATATTTTTCTTATCATTAAATTAAAATAATTAAAACTACATTGTTAATTTTAATAGTATAAAAATAAATATTTTGAAAAATAATTTAAAAACAAAACCATTTCTTCCCTCCCAGTGGTGGGTAAGCAATTCAAGTATTCAATCATTTGGGGTCAAATGGGTTAATAAATAAGGTTGTAATTAAATAATAAAATGAATAAAATATATAATACAAAAAAAAAGAATTGGGCATATCTCTGAAATTGTATATTCATTATCCTAAACAAAAATAAGTATGAAATGTAAGAAGTGTTTTTATTAATTATGAAAATGGAATACCAAATTTAAAATCAACATAGAAATAAAATGATGTCATAATCAAATTATAAAATTTTTAAAAACATAAAATACAAAGAATCACTAAAATAAAAAAACATAGAGAGAATTTTGGGCATATATTTAATGTTATATATTTATAAAAAATAAAATATTGGATACATCTCTAATATTATGCAATTATATTGAACTAACATAAGCATTATACATAGGAAATAATTTTATCAATGATGGAGATGTAATACAAAAATTAATGTTAACTTAGAATCAAACTATTTTTCTTTCCGGGTGGTGGGTTAGTGGTTTGGTCAAATAGATTAGTCGATGATATGATAGTTAAATAATAAATCTTTAAAAAAATAAAAAAGTATAAATGATCAAAATAATATATATATATATATATATATATATATATATATTAATTATGTCAAACAAAAATCAAGTATATATTAAGTAATTATTTATATAGCATAGATGAAATATATATTTTAAAACTGATCAGATAGCAAAGCTCTTTTATTATTTAGATGGTCAATGATCCAACTTTTTTAAATATATTCATGATGACATAATCAAAAAAGATAGAACACAAAAAATGAAAAAGTATAGAATTTTATTAAAAACATTTAAGAACATTTCTAATGTTGTATATTCATCATATTAAATAAAAATAATTATTAAAATATAAATTATTTTTATTTATTCCCGAAATGGAATACAAAATTAATAACTAGCTGATCGAATCTTAGATCAAATTAAAGATATATTCGAATTTGATCTGATTCCCTGATTTAATTTGATTTATCATGACCAAAAAAGGATATTCAAATTGGATCAGATCCGGCTCAAATTGTAAAGCTTATCCATCGGGTCAAATGAATTTATCCTAATAAGCTTATTTTTTATCCATCTGATGGTGGTAGTTTAGCATGAGAGTTTGTAATATTAACTGGACTAGAGTCCTTGATAGATGGAGCTTTCAGTCTGCAAGATGGATCATCATATGAGCAACTAAGCAAGTCAGTTGGACTCATCTATTGGATTATATATATGTCGTTGGTTTTATTAATTTAGCATCGGATCAATATCGTGCGAAAATCAGTCCAAGAGAATTGAGGAAAGAAGAAGAATTTTAATTTTGTTTGTCTTTACTGAATTTTGTTGGTTCAAACGAGGTACGTACACTACACAACAACTACAACAAAAACACTTAAAAGTTGAAACACACTGTCCCAACATGCCGACGGACCCACCACAATTTTACCAGGTACAGAAATACAATAATAGCCAACCTAACCAGAAGGAAACGAATGGCTGGGGAGAGTTCGTATTTGGTGTGTTTGCGATGTTACATGTAGCAAATGTGATGGTCCTGAGGAAAGCGAAATACCGGAAAAGAGGTTAGTGGTCCGGCAACCAACAAAAATTAAAGGCCCAATTCCCCAAGACCCAAGATACCTGTCATACATACAAACGAGAGACTGAAGAACTGATTACCCCTCCCCAACCCTAAATTTTGGGCTCTCTCAGTGCAGACTAGACTGCAGAGAGAGAGTGACAAGTGACAATAGTGCAAGGACCAACCCATCAAAACCTATACAACTGTAAAAACATAACCGATTTCACTACCACACTGCAAATGTTTCTCCTTTTATGGGCAAAAACAACTATTGCTTGCATTGTTTTTTGGTACCTTGATTGAGGATTGAGTACAGGACACGCCCATTTGGATCCATACCTACGAGTGCTCAAGTTGTTGCTACACTTGTAACAGTGCCATTTGGCTCAATTGGTAATTGGCAAGGTTTTCTGCTGGTTGTAGCAGAGACTTAAGAAATAATCTTGTCTAACGAGATGTGATCAAATTCTAGAACCTATCCACTTTCTTAGACCTTTCGACTTCCCTCTTACATTTGAAGTGGGATGGGTCAAATATAAATATACTATCACAGTGTTGGGAAAAGGCCCCATTGTTTAGCCCATTAAGCAAAAACAGTAAAAATTATAAAAGAAAAAAAATGAATATACAGTTATGTCCGATAGGTTAGCGAGGGGTTCAGGAGACATCTTCAAAGTTTGAAGTGGGCAATCGCAAATTGGAAATACACCTCGTCACATCCTTAAAAGCGACCTTTCGTGGTCCGTTGAGTAAACGTGGCTGGTCAGTTTTTCTCCTCGCTCCATTAAAAATCTCTCTCTCTCTCTCTCTCTCTCTGCGATGCTTCATGGATCAGAAGATTTTATTTCATCAAAATACACGTAAAAAAGATGGGAGGCGAGTGACGAGGACAAGACAATGACGGGTAGGTCCCCGCCCTCCACCGTAAGACGATTGATTACTCGTCTCGCCATTAAATTAAAATAGAGTAAAAGACGGCTTACCATTTACAAAATAATTGGAGGTCAGATACCATTTAGTCGGGGGAATGACTACTAACGAGCAACGAATAGGGAGAGCATCTTCCATCTCTTTTATTCTTTTAATTTTTTCACAGCAAAAATCAAAGGCAAAGGCATGCGCAGCGGAATGATAGAGAAGCAGAGAATAAAGCTGCTCTATTTGTTTCTGCTATTTGTTTGTTCCTTTTTTTTTTTCTTTACATGATTGTTCTGATAATAGAGAAAAAAGAAAGAAATTGAAAAAAATAAGCAGTGAGCTCTTTAACCATCCTCCATTTTCATTTTCCCTCAACAGCTCTGATAATAGAGAAATTCAGAAACTGATTCGACTTCAACAGAAAATCAAAGGAAACCCAAAAGGGTGTATTTCTTCATCTTCCTTATCTAGCTTTTGCTTTTACTAGCGGGCGATTTCAGTCTGCAGGGACGCATTAAACTCGACCTGCTCAACCTCCCATCGCGCTTTAGCGATGACTTCATCGTGTACAGGCACGTACTCCTAATCAAACAAAATAATATCATTCATTAAAAACCAAACAAAAGCAAAAGACACGAGAGTTGTGTAGAAAAGAATATGCTAAAGCTTTATCCTCCATTTTCACATTTTTCTTTTGTTTTCTTTCGATTTTCATTCTCTTCTCTGGAATCAGTCCCACACTTCGATATGAGATTACTACTACAACTGAAGAAAACAACCCACACCTCCAGTTTCTGAACCAGCTCTTTCGCATTTGGAGCACTGACGATTATGTGTCGCTGAGAAGGCATGATAAAGCCATCGTCTACAGCTTTGTCGATGAAGGTCAGCAGGTAGTTGTAGTACCCGTCCACGTTGAGTAAACCCACCTACGGATTAACAAATCCAAGTTAGCTTTCAATAATTTAAGCGCTGATCCGCCTGTAATCTTTCCTTGTTTTATTGGATTTCAGTAAGTTAATTACTTACAGGTTTATCATGTATACCAAGCTGAGCCCAGGTGATGACCTCCAATAACTCCTCGAGGGTTCCATAGCCACCTATAAACAGGACGAGTGAAGAGTGAGGAGTTCCATTTTGATTGAATAACAAAGGAAAACGGAGGATTCCCCTTTTTCTTCCAACTATTTGTTGTATGGGGATGATGAATAAGAGAAAGGTACGTGTACCTGGTAAAGCAATAAAACAATCAGAATGGCGCGCCATCTCAGCTTTCCTTTCGTGCATGTCTGCTACAGGTTTTACCTCTCCTACTGTTTCTCCAGTTATCTATTAAAGGATTAATTAAAAAAGTAATTGCTCAAAGAGATAATAATAATATCATTGAGACAGAGAAAGAGAGAGAATTGATTAATTTTTTTAACCTCTTTGCGCATCAGAGTCTTGGGAATAATCCTGTGAAGAGAAGAAACGCACGATCAAAATCGAAAGGGAAAATCGTTTTTGTTAAAATTAAAAAGAGATGTGTCAAGAACATTTTATTACCCTAAAACGTGTCTTCCACCACGATGGACAGCTTCAGAAACCAACCCCATTAACCCAACGCTCCCACCTCCGTAAACAAGGTCTAACCTTCTGGAGACCTATACAGAAAAAACAGGATGATCAGAGCACGCAGAAACAGAAACATGAAGAAAAGAAAACAGAAAAGAAGAGCAAAATGATCGAGCGTGACCGCACTCACCAGCTCTTGTCCTAATTCAAGCGCAGCATCGCGGTAGCAGTCTCGCTTCCCAGTACTGCTTCCGCAGAAAACACAAACCCTTTTGAACCTCGACTTAACTACTTTCTCCTCCGCATCCATTTCACGCACAGACACTCCTTCCCTCTCTAACCTCCCGTCTGTAACTCGTGGATCGTCGTGACTGACTATGTAAATATATAGAGAGAGAGAGAGGGGGGGGGGGGGATTGTAGAGTTGTGAAGGAGAATGAAGACAAAAAGGAAAGAGAGAGAGGGCTTCTTCTACGTAAATGAGGTGTACCCTACTCCCCTTTCTGCAGATAGAGAAATATTAATTAGTAACCAATAAGCAATTCGAAATTCTAAAATGAAAAAAGCATTCCTGAATCCTGCTACTTTTCAGGCTTTCAAGTTTCAATCCACCACCTCCGCCTGGCGCCTGCGGCACACACACTCGACTCGAGTTCCCTTAATTTCATCATAATACTGAAAAGCACTTTTTTTAAGTAATTTAACCAAAATGATCATGTTATATACTGTGGTATCTTACTATTGGAATCCAAATAAACAAATTTATCCAGCTCTTTTCTCTGACTGGGGTTCTAGTGGGTTACCGATCCCAATAGCCATTCAGCGGTACTAGCTTCCAACCACACCCAAAAATAAATTACTGTTACAAGTAACAAGTAACCAATTCACTTACTTACTGTCAATACCCACCATGGAAAACTAAAAATAATAATAATAATATTGCATTTATATTATTTTCTTCCTTTTATTTATATTTTGGGCAGAATATATTATCATATTTATCCAACCAATTAACGAATGAAAACAAATGGAAAAATGGGGAGCAAATCAACCCCCCACAACGTCTCACTGCACACTCCTGCCGTGTACGTGTATTGGGAATATCTCCCGATGATAATTTCTGATATGTGATGTAGGACGTTGTGGGGGGCAATCTGGTGGGGGTTGATTTGAACTCGGAAAAATCCGACCAGACCGGACTCACTCCAGACTCTAGAGTCACCATAAAGGATCGCCTGACCAGTCGTCACCCTCGTCTGTGTCAACCCAGGATATGGAAGTGGAACCCTGGTTGGGGACGTCTATCGGTCACCGTCGCAGAGAGTGAGAGAGTGAGAGGTGACGATTTATTGAGCCTAATCTGCCACGTCAAGCAGCAATTCCGGACATGTTATGTACACGTGTCGTGACATAGTAATTCAAATGATTGGGCTTATAGGCTCGTTTCCCAAGTAATTTATTGCCCCTGGCCTCCTTGCTAAAAGAAATATTACCCGGAAAAATCTATGCTGCCCAAAATACACGATATGGGTAGTGGTGGTCTTTTACAAACCCCCCTAGGCCCTGCCCCGTGAATTGAATAAATAGCGGCCTTCTTTTTTAATTTTTATAGACAGGGGTTAATTGCCGAAAGCTCCCATTAATTTTCTAGTTGTTGTTGAAAGTTAAACCTTTTTCCAAGTTTCATAATTCTAATTCTCTCTCCTAAATTTTGTGACAGTTGTAATTCTTAAATAGTTAGAATCCTTTAAAAAAGACAATGAAAATGTTTAAAAGACCTATAGAGATAATTTTGACAAAAATGTTTACTTTCCAAATTGTTTCTTTGTATGAATCACTAATCTAAATCTTTTCGATTTTTTTCTGAAATTAATTTACTTTTCAAATTTGACCTTCATATCAATTGTTCAAAGGCAAAATTACATCTTTAAATTCCTTCTTTCTTTATTGCTTATAAGGATTGTATTTTTTTTTTTTTTGCAAAAATCAATCTCAATAGTAATTGTATGAGTATTTTGGACATTTTTATGCCTCTTGTTAGTAAATTCTAATAAAACGGGTATGCTTACAACTATGTCAGAAAATTCGGAGGAGGTGATTCATTACAATTATCAAACTTTCGAAAAGGTTTCACCAATGGTAAAACTTTAGGCAAGGTTTCAGCAAATTAGCCTTATAGATAAACTATTTATATTATGCGAACTGAATATTTATATAGTTTGCAGACTGGATAGCCATTGTGGATAATTTGAAATAGAAAAGGACTAATTCGGATGATCTTTAGCTACTTGAGCAACCCAATGTGTTTTATATCATTAAACAAAGAAAGAGAGTTTTTAATCTTAACTAAAAGATTAAGAAAAGTCCAAAGCATAGAGAATTGATCATTGATCGCTTTTACCAATTGAAGGAATCTGGGAAGATGCTGATATGATCCAATGTGATTCGAGAAATGAAAAGATATCCCTGCAAAATAACCTCCAATTCCTCTTGTTCTACTCCTCCAGTTAGGTGATAAATAACCACGCTCAAATGCCCAATTATGCATCAGATGATGGGATGAAGGCCCTCTACAGTTTTGATATTATAAAGAAGACTAAAGACCCATTGTAGTATAGAGTTAGTGATAATTACTCCTTGAATTTTTACTTGCAATAAAAACCCTTTTGAACTTTCACTTTGTAAAAAATACCCTATAAAGTCAATTATAATAACAGAATACATTAAATTATCAAAATACCCACTTGAATTTTACTTCTTTTCTTTTCCTTGCTCTTTTATCTTAAACCATAATGGACCTAAAAATACCTTCATTTTCTCCAAACTAAACTAGCTAAAATAACAAGAATCATTTTCAAGTTTGTTTAAATCTTGATTTTGTTTCACTAGCATGCCTCATCTTAAAATATTAAAAATTTAAAATTATCCACTCCTTTCTCAAATAAGCCAAAAAAAAAAACTTAACAAAATCTTAAATTTATATTTATTAGAAAAAATCCCTTACCATTTAATCTCAATATTGAATCCAACAAGAAATATACAATGATCTATTAGAGCAAGTGACAGGACTTTAATATTATATTTAAAAAAATTAAGTAAATCATAAATCATTTAAATAAATAAAAGAAAAGAAAAAAGATAATTTAGATATTTAAAAATTGTAAACAAATGAATAAAAATCTTTTTCATAATTAAGCAATAAAACTCTAATGAAAGAGAGTATTTATTAAAAAGTGAAAAGTTAAGGGGCTATTTATCACATGAAAGTTCCGAGGGTAATTATAATGGACCTTGTCATTTACCCACGGAAGACAGAAGATGGCAGCGGAGAAGACGAAGGAGAAGGGAGGAGCGAGTGACAGAGGGTCAGACGGAGACCGAGCGGCGCAATGATTATTGTGCGCCGGCGGGGGTGTAGAGTACATTTAATGTTACTGTTGTTTTTTAATCAATCAACGCCCAACCGCGGAGTGCGAAGAGCTGGGCGTACGTTCAGCGGTTCAGGTGGTTCAACTTCAACAATTCAAGCGGAGACGCCGTTCGAATAAAACTACAGAACTACAGAAGAAGAGATACCCCACTTCCAAAAAAACACTAATTTGTGGGCCCACCTATAACCATTTAATAAGCGAACAATTTGTACTACTACTACTACACATCATTTGGTTCATCGAGTTATTAATCCAATCGATTCTTTTGAGTTGTAATCTGAGTATTTAATAACCGAACAATTATATATCTCTCTTCCATTATTGTCTCAATTCATTACAAGAAAAAAAAAATAAAAAATAAAACATTATTGTCTCAAGTTTTGTATATTTTACCCTTGAGAGGTTTTTCTGAATGCCAAAGGGAGGTTTGTATATTTTACCTTTAAATTGTATACATTAGACTTGTTCATGGGCCAAGTTTTACTTCTATATTATTAAAACACATTCAAGGCCAAGCCCGAACCTAGTCCAACCATTGAGCCTAGGTCTTCAACCCAAGCCTAGTCCTCATGTAAAGCCCAAAGCCTAGGCCCGACCTTGAAGCCTGGCTAGGAAATTGAGAAAAATTATTTTTTTACTCAACAATAAAACTGATTTATTTTATATTAAATGACCTCAAACCCTAAAAGTACCGAAATATCTCACAATAGCTTGAGAAAGGAGAAGATGAACATAGAAAAATATATTATTTTTTTATTATATAAAATAGTATCAGATCGGGTTGGGCTTGGGCAGGGCTCAGTCTGAAAAAAAAAAATAATAAAAAAAAATAGTTGGGTTTGGTGCTTTGGGCAAGCCCAGGACCACATACCTAAATTCATGTCCAAGCCTAACTAATAGTGGGCTAGGTTGGGTTGGCCCATTAAGCTACCTAGCCCATGAACAAGTCTAATATACATGTAGCCCCACCCTAAATAAAATGTGGTGTGGCCATGTCAAATTAAATCACATCTAGGCACCCATATCAAACTAAATTTCCTAAATGTGGTATGCCCAAGTCATTCTTGTGTCGAAATGTCAAATCACTTTTGTGATGCTTCACATGGAATAATTACTATTTATTACCATAATTAAAAATTATTATAAGAAAAAAATATTATACCGTTAATCATTTAACTTATGATGGACCACCTATTCTCTCTACCTTATCAAACATTAAAAGCCTTTTTTATTGGAATTTACGCCAAGAGTGTATTAGTGTGAGGAGTATGACTATAATTAATTATCTTGCTTATTATGGTCAATATGCAAGATTGTCTGCCCTCTTTGACTTTAGAGTACTTTTCATTTCATTATTAACTAGCCTTTCACAGTTTTTCCATACAAGAAAATTTCCATAAGAAATTGCCAATAAAGTAATAACTTAGGTAAAACCTTTTTTGATTTAATTGCCACATTAGTAAATTTTGTTTCATGAGCACTCGAAACCACAATCATCATTATTATTGAAATTTGTTAGTTAGTTAGTTTCCTTTTTTAATTAATTAACTCTTTGTTATTTTTCTGTTCTTTAGTGTCACAAGGGCATTCTTGTAATCATACTTTCTTTTTTTATTAGTTGGGATGCCCTAATATAAATACTAATGGCTGGCAGCACCAGTCTAAACTTTTGGATCCCAGAATTCTCTTCTTTCTCTTCCTTTCTTCTCCCTTTTCTTTTCTGTTTCTCTAATTTGTTCAACCCAGAAAACATGGTATCAAAGCAGGTTTTTGGGGTTAGAAGCAGTGTGGAAAATTCTTCTTAGGTTCTTCTCCCTCAATCTCTCAGTTCCTCCTCTATTGTGGATCAAATCTGATTAGGGAGTGGATCAAACTGATCTGAAGGTTTTTCTTTAGGTTCCCTTCCTTTCTTTCTTGATCGTGTGCCAAGAAAACCCTAAAAGAAGGGAACTCTGATGCTATGAAGGCAAGTCTTCTTA